TAGTATGGTCATCAATGCATAGTTTTTTAACCTCTTATGGTTGCAATAGTGCATATGGAAAAATAGTTCACCTCAATCATGTGTGGTGGTTTGATGTAAGTGATCACATATGATTCCATGTTTTTTACACTTACAATTACTTATTACAATGTTTGGGTTACCATTTATCTGATTTGTATTAATAGGTAGTAGCGACGCTAAAATGCGTTCAGCCTGGAACGTATGATGTTATCTGGAGATTCAAGGTTGATAGAATAAACATTGGCTTGGATGGGTTAAATTTTAAGACACAAGTTCTAGCTAATGTAAGTTTCTACTGCACCCATTGGAATTAAATAATTATACTTCGTACATTTAACGTCAATTCAATTAATATTGACGAAGGAAACTATATCATTTTATGTCAACGAAATAGAGCTACGAGGATTCAGATACTTCTGAAATGGTTGTTCAAGAAAAAAATCACGTAGTAGGTTCTAATGTATTTAAAAGAATTAAATCAAAACGACTCTGGGCCGAGTATTGCTTACCATACCAAATTGATGTACCTAAAGAAAGGATTGTTGATGGAGAACACGTTTGGTATGACGTTAGATGTAAAATATACAACCATGATGGATTTCCGAAATGCGGTTTGGTAAGTAATTTTTCTGTTGTTTTATCCTAAATTATTTTTTGCATTATCTATTATTTCAAGTAATTAACAACTTATGTACAATAGCATATCGATTATGTCAAATTATTGCACCATAAAGATGGGAAGGGAACACGAAATCTTAGAGGATAATCATGGTGAGGGATACGATCAAATTACTCGAGAACTTCAAGATCGTGTTGCATTTTGATTCTTATTTGGAAATGTGAATTTTTAAATGCCTATTAAAATTTAATGTATATATTCTCATATCCAACCATTCTCTAAAAAAAAATCGGAAATTTACAACAAATCAAAACGTTTTGTTGTTTTCTATATTGTATATGTCGTATTGATAAGTATAGTGATTTCCTTTTTATAAAGAATTAACTGATATACAGTTAGGGACAAACTTTTTGTCCTCATAATTAATGTGATTTTTTTATTTTAAAAATAAGTCATACATAAATAATGTTATCAGAAACACATGACATTACAATATTTCCACATTCGTTTTATATAGACATTTCCCATCTACTTTGTCAATAAATAAAGTTTACAATGTTTTTGCCAAATAGTAAAACATACCTTGGAATCTTTTTGTATTTCTGGAACAATGGTATATTTAGTCCCAAAAAACTTTATTTAAAAACTGGTATCCCATTAAGAATTATCAAATACAATATCAATAAATTAAAAAAAACCAGAAATACCAAGCAAAAAAAAAGATAATGTTCCGTATGTCTAAAAAAAATATTAAAACTTTTAAGGCAAATAATAATTTATAAGGTATAATTATTTTATTTCTTTCCAAAAAATAACAAAAAAATTAGCTGAAATAAATATTTATATATTCTATGGAACTGTTTCAAAAAGTATTTAAATTATTGAAATATATTGTAACAATATAAAAGAAATTATATTAATTAAAAAAGAAATTCTTACACATAATTAATAACACAAATAGATGATATTAATAATATAAACAAGTTTATTTAAGAAATTTACAATTGGAATACAATATTTCAAACTGTATTTTTTTAAAACATTTGAAATTTGAAATATTCAAAGTTACAGTATTTATTTTTTTTAGGATATTTAAGTTATATAATATAAAACATATAATATAAGAATCCAAAAGTTTAATATAATATAATTATTAATAAATATAATGAGTTTGTTTGATTTATTTGAATTATAAAGAATATTTTTACAAATAATTTAATATTGTATTATTTAATTGTATTATTTAATTATATTTATTTGTTTTATATTTCTATTATATATACTATATATAATTTTTAAAAAAAGCAAATATATAATATTATATATCTGTTATAATAATTAATATTTAGATTATATATTAAATGTTTTTATTTATAGTTATTTATATTATATATATTTTTTATATTTTTATATTATGTAACTTAATACTTTCTATTAATTATTTCTAGTAACAGCTAATTTGTTTTATTTATTAATTCAATTATATGTCTATTTAAATATTATATAAATATATTTATATATCAGATAAAATTTTTTTATAAAAAAATAATAATTCTATAATTAATTTAAAAAACATAATTTATTAGATTTAAAATTAGCTATATTTGTTATAAAAAATATATTATATAATAAATAATATAAAAAATAATTATTCTAAAGAAACTTTTTTTTTTACTATTATCAAAAACAAAAACTTTTTCTTAAAACAAACTTATCAGTTGTTAACCTATTTAATAAACTTTAAAATTAAATAAATTAATAAATAACTATAACAGGAAACTATTTAAATTAAAGGAAATAATCTTAGTTGTAATATACTAATTTGATAAGATAAAGGAATTTGACAAGATTTATTTAACATAAGGCAAAAAAATATAATGATTTGATATAGAGTTTAATTGGATTTTATTAAAATATTGAAAAAAGTTAAGAGAATTTTTTGATCAATTAGAAAAAACAATTGTCCTATTTATATATCTTTGAATTATAAAAAAATAATATAAACAATAATATAGATATATCAGTTCTGAGACCTGTGGATTTATAGTACAGTAGTTCATGCTTTACAGATCAGATCACAAGATACCGGTTCAACCCCAAGTAAAGGCGATTGAATAGAATTAATATAGTATCTGGCACCGTAATCAATTATATACTGTTTCTCATAAAAAGTCATTCACATGCTGATCCAGTAAGGCATTGAGATTGTAATTTCCCGTTAAGGTGTTATAGCGTAACAATCATCCGGTTGATGCATGATGATCATCATGAAGTCACTTTATATATAGGTTATGCAGGCCCCCTGTGTATGTCATACCCAATAGGTCGAATTCGATTCATCAGGATTTTCTAGTTTGGAGTTATCCTAATTTGGCGCTTGCTTAAAAGAAGTGGTCTGTGGGAAAGATCTATTGAAGTCACAAGTGATGACAAGAAGCAAGTATCCCCTCCGAGAATCCAAACGAAAAATATCAGAGTATTCGGAAATCCTAATCAATCTCTGTAGGATAAATATAAGGCCTCAAGACTGGGTTATAGGTTAGATAGTTTAAACTAGTGGTAGGAATTCCCCCTATAAAAACCCCACCTAATGTATTAAATCCACCTTTGATGTATAATTCTCATAGTTGAATTTAAAGATAGATGGTAAGTTGTTACCTAGATAGAGTAGTGTTAGTTACAATTAGAATTGTCATCAGACACAATCAATATAAATCAGCAATTATTTCAATTATAAAAGATACTTGATATATTTCCATATACGAAAGTATTAATAAAGATTTGCATCGTTGCCTATTTATCTAAAAAAAATATATATATATATATATAAAGATGGGTCCCGAAATTCATATATTTTTTTTTTTTTTTTTTTTTTAACGGCTAAGTGAGACTTTTCTCTAGTCTTTATTAATATGTCGAGTTATTACATATATTACATATATAAGGATTAGACTATATTAATTTTCCTATATAAACTAGAGTCCACCCACAGGTAACTATGACCATCCGGGTTAAGTCTGCCACCATTATTTTTTTATTTTCTGAATCTTCTTTAACTCTGAATCTTACTTAACACCCTATTTACTCTAATTTATTGTATATTTTAATCCTATTCAATTGTATTGTATTTCTTAATGTAACCTACTGGAAATGATTATCAAACCCATTTGTTTCATACTGGATACTTGCGCATATCTTTCATTTCTGGCAATTAGCCTATTACCAACCAAGCGATCTTTACACCACAATATCTTTTTTACTATTATTCCTATTGATATGCAGAGTCCTTCTTCCGCAAGAGTTTTTCCAACAGTTTGACCTAATATGGGTACAGATACCTTTATATATCCCGCCGGTTAAAGTTTTCCAACGATCTAAACCCGGTAAGGGTCAATCTAGTCGGTCAAAGCCTTTTTTTGTCAGCAATTAGACCTGATATGGTATGTAGTTGTGCATCCTGTCAGTAGGGAGTTTTCTTTCAGACCTACAATCGAACAATTGTATCTTCCTATCACATACATTATAGATTTTTATCTAATCAGGGTAATAATTAGTTACATATAACACTATAGGCAGATTCTGTATTCAATTGAAAATATTTTTTTTTTAAATATTTTGCCTCTTGAAGGACTTGAACTTGGATTCATGTGATAGTGACCTATGGAGCTTAACCACTAAGCTATAGACCCATAGGTTGTAATATTTAATTGTTTATAATCATAAAATTTTTTTTTTCAATGTACTTATCTGCATACTAAACAATCAAAAAACTTAGTATTTTATTAAATATTTTATGTTATTAGTTCAAGCAAGGAAAAATTTTTGCTAAGATATTATTATATTATAAGTTTATATACAGAGGGAGAACAAAAGTTTCTGAATGGTTTTTTAAATTCCGGTTTACTCGTATTTTTGTGATTAAATATATACTAAATAATATTCATATGCAGACTACTATATTGGAGAAATATAATTATATAATTATATATTAATCGATATAAAATAAGTAAATTATTAAATTATGCTACTTTGTATCATATCAAAATATGATCTATGCTACGATCAACACTATATAAAGAAAAAGATTCGTTACAATTTTTTTTTTTATTGTGAGGGTCTTTCAAAGTTCTCTCTAATATTTAATCTTGTTAAGACTAAGGCATAATAATTTGGTCCGAGTATCCTTCTCTTTTTCTAAAAAATAAACACAATTTCATCCATTAGCATGCACATTCGTCTACTCAAACTATACCTAAGTTCCTGTTGTAGCAATGGGCATTTACACTTTCAACTACTCTGAAACTCTTCCAAATTCCTTTATGGTCGCAGTTTTACCTTCAAATATCACACATTTATAATAGTAGTTAGTTGAAACAAATAGATATTAAACAGTTTTTAATCAAATAATTGTTAACAAATAATTGTCTCTCTTTATTCAAACATTTTCTCTCGCTTTATATACATGATAGAATTAAAAAATTATCTCAAATATATCAAATATATCAATTATCTAAACTATTACTAATATATCTAATTTCTCAACTATATTAACTATCTGAAATAAATCAAAGAAATCAAAGAAAAAAAATATATTACAGATATCTTATTTTTCTCAGATTTGTCATTTTTGGGATCATCATTGCATACATTCATGTGACCATGCAATTTTCCTTTCACAATATACAGTAATTGACTCTATTAAATTATAGTATGGTTCTGATATATAACTATATTTCTCCCATTTACATTCCCTACCCCTTGCTAATAAAGTGCACGAAACTTTCCATCCATTGCTAATAAAGTACGTGAAACTTCCCACCCATTGCTAATAAAGTATATAAAACTCTCCACTCCTTACTATAGCGGGCTTTTATCGTGATTGGTTTATTTTTGTAGATCATTTTGTGATTTTTATGATACTTATAAAGTTCATTAAATTGTTTTATATTATCTAGAAAAAAAAAAATAATAAAATGTCTGTACAAGAATAAATCTACGAAGTTAGCTCTAACACTAAGAAGGGAAAAAGAAAAGCTTGTTACTGTGACTTGAAAGGTTATAATGAAGTTGCTTGTGATTACGATCTCCATGGTACTTCAATTGTAAATAATCAAATAATTATACTAGTATTAAGCTATTTGACTTTACAGTAGGTGAATTATTGACTTGTTTTACTTCTAGATCATGTGATTTCTCAACATTTCA